GGTCAAGAAACAGATTTATGTATATGTGAATTTAGTATATGATAAAAGTGTTATTTTGCATCAATGAATGTAGAATGGAGTATTTAACAAATGGACATCAATACTATTCACTTGGATAAACACTAAAGTTGTGTTTTTATCTTAAACCTTAAACCCACAAATAACTTCAAAGTAGAATGTAGTCTAATACAAAAATAAGTAAATAAAACTAAAACTGTTAGAACAAAATATATTTAAAGATTTTTGACAATCTTTATTTGAGGAAAACTTTCTTAAATAAGGCAAGAAAACAAGAAGTCATAAGGGAAAGAATTCAGAGTTGATTACATTTGAAACAGGGAGAGTTTCTGGATGGCCAAGGGCAGCATAAACAATGTTAAAAGATGAGTACAAGACTGATCTAAACAAAGTATATGAGACAGAAGGTCACTATGGTAGATATTTTGCAAAGATGGCAACAATAATTCCACCCACCCTTGTATACCTGCTTCTTTACAATGTTACTTTGCTGGTGCTCCCATTAAGAGGAGTCTATTTCCTGTCCCCTAGAATCTGAGCTGACCCAGTGATTTGTTTGGCCAATTGAATGTGGCTGAAGTGACATTGTACAAGTTTGTCAACAGGCCTTGCAACTTCAGCTTTGACTCTCTTGGTGCTCTGAGTCCACTATGTAAAGACATGCAAGCTAAATCCTCCTTGAGGATTATTGCCTATGTGGAAAGAGAGCCAATGTGACAGCCAGCACCAACCATCAGACATATGAGTGAGGCCACCTTGGACCATCTAGTTAATGTCAAGCCAATAGAAGGCTGTAGGCACATGAATAAACCTAGGTAAGATCAGCAGAAGAACCACCCAGATGAGTCCAGAGAAGATGCTGACATGCAAACTCATGAGCAAATATAATGGTGGTTGTTTTAAGTCACTAAGTTTTGGGATGGTTTGTTATGCAGCAATAACTAAGTGGGACAGTTGTCCATAATTTATAAAGAATTACAGGGACAGGAGCAAACAGCCTGCTTGAAAAATGGGCTGGCAAGTCACAAAACAAGAAACACAATGGCAGTTGACTTGAGTCAGAGCTGGAAGAGCCTTGTTGATGGACTGGAACAATAATTTGGGCTCCATAGTCAGCCTGCCTGGGTCTGAACCCTGGTCCTGCCCCACCACAGTGTGACCTCAGGGCAAGTTACTCAAATTTTTCCAGGCCTCAATTTCCTCATCCGTGAAATGGGTATATAATTACTATCTATCCCACAGGGTCACTGTAAGGAACCTTGCTTGTATTAAGTACAAATAAATGTTTCTTTTGCCATTACTGCTATAAATGGCTCAGATGAACTCTTGAACCCAGAGAGACAGTGAGTATAAGAAGCTAAGCTGTTTTATTGAAGGCAAGTAAAAGGATAAAAGGGTGAAAGTGCTCATAAAGGTAGTTAGGAGATAGAGAACAAAGACATTTTGTTACATTTCAGAGTTTGGTTTCTTTTAATATTATTGTAGAAATAACCAATTTGATGTGTTATTATACTTGCTTAAATCTCACTGTCGTAGTGAGTTCTAGCTTTACTATTTAAAATCTATAGAAATTCATGGTTCTAAATCTGACAGTTTTAGTAGAGAGGCATTTATTTGAATTTCAAGTAAAAGGTACTATTAGTATTAGTATTATTATCTATGGATTTTATATTTTGGGATGTTCCATCTTCCAGACTGCTTTTATTACACATAATTGTTTTCTTACTACTATAAATTAAAGACATGAAAGAACTAATCTAAATATCTGATCAACATGAGTCAGACTTATTTCAATGAGATGAAATTTCATTCAAAAGTGAAAAAAGTTGATGTTTTTGTGCATTTTTATGCAGCTGTTGCAGACAATTGTACAATTTCTTATTAGATATTTTAAAATATTGATAACAGTACAAAGGCTAACACTATTATTTTTATGAGCCACATAACCAATAGAGATAGTGTGCACAAAGCATCTTACTGCCACCTCATAACAGCGTACCTACAATACAGGGACAGTCACTTACAGAGTTGAAAATGTATCCTCTCGAATGTTGAAATTACCCCCAAAATTATGTTAGGTAATGTACATAAATATGTATATGTGCTTGTGTGTATGTGAATATAGATAATGTATCACTGTGTGTGTACCTGTACATATATGTTCATATTTGACACAATAAGACTGTCAAGATGTGTTTGAAAACGTAAATTGTTAAAAGGCTTTCTCTTGTAGCCAGCATGATGACTTTAAGGAGCACGTAGAATACAAATACTCTTTAAAAGATTTTTACACTATAAAATAACAAAAACAAATTAAGCAGTTCTAGCTGTACAATATTAGTTTGTTTGTTTTTTTCATCTGAAACAGGGATCAGGATAGTGCCTAATTCATATAGGAATTTTGTGAGGATTTACAAAGGTAATATATCTAAAGTGCTAAGAACAGTGTCTGACAAATAAAAGGAATTTTACGACTCTTAGCTATAATTGTTATTCTTATTACTATTTTATTGGGTGTCCTAGATATGTCAAAATCACCAGATCTTAAATAAGAGTGTATCTCTTTTTAAATGATCCCAAATATACTACAGTTTGGGTAAATAAACCTACCATTGTGCATTTCTGACTCCAACCTTGTATTTGAGAATGTTTTAAGCAGACGTAACAACAACAACAACAACAACAACAAAATACTATTAGGATTGATTAATTTTCTAGTTGCAAAGAATGACTTTAACAGCTTAAGATATCATAGGGCCAATATATTTAAATGGAGTTTAAGATGGGTTAAAAATGTCCAGTAAACAGAAAGAATAGAACATCCATAGTTTTGTATTCAAATACACCTGCTACTAGCAAATTCACTTTCTGGGGCCTGAAAACTACAGGCTAATAAATGTCTTTTGCAGAACTCACTTGGTGGAACATACATTCTCCATTTGAATCATAATACCGTTGGGGAGTCAGAGGGCCAATGAAATAACTTTAGTCAGGAAGACTATAAAACTTTTATAATAACAAATTACAAAAGAGAGTAAAATTATGAACTAAACTGTTAAACTCATCATTCTGTTTGGATAAGTGCATTGAGTGGACAGAATAACTGAATGCTATTGTAAGATAAACTGAAGCTGATGGATCAGAAGCTATTTGAGACCCAAGTTACTTCTAGGAGCGTTACTCTTTCTAAATCCCCCATTTCTTCTGTTCTCTTGGGGCAGTTCTTCAACCAAAGGCCCTTTTGAGAATATAATCCACTTCCTCTTTGCAGTTGCCACTTCCACCAGCTGCTTCTCTCATTACCTTACTGTTCAGGCAGAAAAGGCCAGCTCCAGGTTATTCTAATGATAGCAAACACCTCATAAATAAATCTGCCAAATTTACTTTTCCATAGAACATCATTTTTACAGCTTTTTAAAAAATGAGTCCATGAGGAAAGAAAGCATCATGTATAAAACTATGACTTCCAGAAATCTTGAAGATATTAAGAATTATTCCTACGCATTAGACTGGTGGTTGTAACACAGTTTATAGAATGGCGGTGTCTTCAATTCATCCCGAAGGAATTCTGTCAGTTTGTCACTGTAACTGCCCATAGAAGATGAGAGAGGACCCGACAAAGTTATAACATATGCAGAAATGTGCGAAATTTAAAAGAACTTTAGGCTCAGGCGTGTATACATTTTTCCATCCCTGGTTTTGCATTTGTGTTCAAGGGTCACCTTGCTTTAGTCTATAACAGCCTGGCTGAGAGAAAATTTGGTATAATTAATCAAGAATTTGAAATGTGTGAACTTTGGCAAATTTCTTAACCTTTCTGTACCTCATTTGTTTTTTGCATCTGTAAGAGGGATATATCAATAATATAGTACCTCATTAAATCAGTTAAATTTTGTAAAGCACTTTAAACAGTAGCTCATAGTAAGCACTGGAAGTGTTGAAGCGAATTCTCTCTTTAACAGTAAAGTTTTTCCTCAACAGAGTAGATAAAGATGTAAAAAACGAATGTGCAGAGACAATGACTGTGAAGCCCTTTATGAACAATAAATAATACTTATCTCGACATTGCAAAGCAAAGGATTTTAGAGGGGCTGGTTTGAGGAGGAAATTTTAGAAGCCAAAAAATTCCCGCTGCTTTCTGAGGAAATCCCTGCGGATTTTTACCCACGCCCCAAGCTGTCAGTTGTCACACCCCTAGACTCAAGGAAAAGCGTTTTCCGAGGCAGCTGCAGGAATTCCCTACTTGGGCAACCATTTATTCGGAAACGGAACTCACCTTTTGGTATGACGCCCACCACTCCTCCCCTCCTCCCCAGTCGTGACCACTCCTACCCCCGGGCTTGGAATTGAAATCGATCATTAGAACCCTATTCCCAAGGCGACCTTCAACCCGACCAGGGCACTGGGAAGAAAAGTCTTTGCTCTTAATTTAAAAGCCCCAGGAAAACCCAGCCCAAAGCACGGCAGGTGCCTTGACTCCGCGCCCTCCCCTTGGCCAAGTGCGAGCCTCCGTTGAGGCCTTGGAGAGACACCGGAGGCACCGGGACCCCGTGTGGGAAGAGAGGATGTCTGGTCATTCTCCTCGAGAAATTATTTCGTGACCTTTAGTATTGCTTTTGAAGGGGCAGAGTACATTACTCGGTCTCTAAAGAGCAACCAAAGCCTGGCAGCACCCCAAAGCAAATACAGACATGCTTTACACTTCCTCCGCGCATCCCACGCCTCGCGCCCCCGAGTACCTGACCTGTGAGACCTGGAGGAGCGCGTCCACGGGATCTTGTAGCCAGGTCCAGCCTCCCCGCACGTGCCCGCTCCGCCTCTGCCTAAGACGTGTTACCCCGGCAAAACTGCTGCCAAAACAGTTGCTCTTCGGTGGGGCGGGCGGAGAGGGAGCGCCTCCTCGCATGCATCAGGCGCGAGTTCAACAACCCGCCACCCGGTTGCCCGCTGCCACGCGCGCCCCTCTCCGGCGACGCACTCACCTGCAGCTGGGTCCGGCTGGCGTTGCCCGCGGCCGCCTCCCGCCCGTCGGCGGCTCCGGAGCCGCGCAGCACGGTGATGTGCAGCGTGAGCAGCAGCAGCCCCAGCAGCAGCAGCAGCTCGGCAGCCAGGCGCACCATCCTCTTGAGGCGCGCGGCTTTAGGACCCGGCGCGGCGGGCGGCGGCGGCGGCGGCGGCGGCGGTGGCGCCGGGGGC